GAAGTCTGTTTTTGAGGCTTTTTTACGTGTCTTCTCATTTCCACGGTGGGGGGGTGCTTTTGACACCCGAGCTGCTCACCTTCTCTGCCCTAGGAGCCTGGGATGGCGGCAGGGGAGCTTCCTTCTGGGTGCTAGGACCAGCTCAGCTTCTTTGCCCTGGGAGCCTGGGATGGAGGCGGGGGAGCTTCCTTGCGGGTGCTGGGACCAGCTCACCTTCTCTGCTGTAGGAGCCTGGGATCCTTTTGATAAAATTTTTAATTGCCTGGATTTCTGATTGAAACCTTTTCATGAACTCTGATTCTTTACTATCTGGTCATTCATGTTTTGTATCATTTTGTTTAGTTCACCTAGCTTTTTATTAGTGTGTTCTCAAAGTTCCTGGATCATTTTGGTTATTTCTTCCATTATCTGTTTAGTTATGTCTTCTGTGATCCATTGAGTACCTCTTTATTCTGTTTCTAACCTCCTCTATTATCATTTTGAGTCATTTGGGTGTGTAATTTTGTAATCTGGCCATGGGAGCAGCACCTGTGTCCTTTAACTCTAACCCACCAGGCGGTATCTCAGCCCACTCCTTTGGCTGTCTCCTGTGACTGCTTCTCTCCTAGTCACCATGGGAACTTAAGGCAGGGAGCCCTGAAGTGAAACCATGCAGCTTCCCGGAGTCAAGCAACCCTTTACTGGAGTGATGTCTGACCAAGGACTCTCTCAAGGAATATGGTGGGCACTTGTACTATAGTCATTCACCAGCTGTTGTCCGTTGAAGGACTCTATGGGAGCAGAATCCTGCACTGTCCCAAGCAGATCACAGCAACTGCTGGTCCATTCAGTGGCTGCATTCCTGAGTCTCCCCTGGAGTCTCCAGCATTCACTTTGTCTCTGTAGGTTTGGTCTCCCTTTTCCTGCAATCCACAAGGTGGGAACTGGGGAGAAAGTGCACATTGTCCCTTCCCTTCTAGTTTTCTGTCTCTTCCGTTTCTCTGCAGCTTTTAATTTTCCTGTCAGATTCCTCCTGGTTCCCAGGATTTACTTGTCTCATTTTTTCTTCCCTAAATTGTTATTTTCTAGTGTGTGGATTCCAAATCTCATATAGAGTCTGAGTTGTTTTCATTTACTACTCTGCCGTTTTTTTTTTTTTGGCAACCTGATTTAAGTTTTCATTTTCTTTAATAAGCTTTACATTTAAACGAGCATAAATTACTCAACTTCTTTGATAAGCCCTTTCCCATTCCTGTTCTTTTATCTGTTTATAAGATTTTCTTAATTTTTGGATCAGCTGTATTTGCTGATTAAATAACCAAAGTAGAGAGGCAGCTGGGGCTTTTTGAGAATCATAAGTATGTTTTACAGAGCAGAGAATTAAGCTATTAATCCTTCCCCCAAACTTTCAATTTTAAGATATCTTTAAAGATAAACTTTCTTTCTGGTGGTATGACTTAGTGGTAGAATGCTTGCCTACCATATGCTAGGTCCTAGGTTTGATCTCCAGTAAAGGAGAGAGAGAAAGGGAGAGAAGAGAGAGGAGATGGGAGAGGGGAAAGAACATGGGAGATGGAAGGGAGAGGAGGAGGATGGGGGAGGGGGAGGGGGAGGAGAAAGGAGAAAAGAAACTTGTTCTTTTATTTTAAAAAATAAGAATCTTTGCTATCCTGTCCAGGATTAACTTTCTGTGATTCTGTGAAATTTATGTATTCAGTACTGAAGTCACTGTTTGGAGATACACATATCTCCAGATATGTATCTTGGAGAATATATATGTATCTCCTAAACTGTTTATAGATGCATTGAAACCAAGATTAATACTGATTGCCATTTTAGCACATCTTTTATTCTTAAAACTGCAACAAGAAATACTCTCTCCCCTTCCAGATTGACTGCTACCTTAGTTCAGTAGTGATTTTTTGTTTGTTTGTTTTTGGTTTTAGTTTTGGTTTGGCACTAACATGGTATAACAAATAGAACTGTTACTGACTCCAACACCTCTGGTCTTTCCAAAGTAGTTCTCTTCAGCATTTCTTACATAAGCCTCTAAGAAATAATAGTTTACAGAAGTTTTACTTTTTAAATTTAAAGTAGTTGGAAAGCTGTTTTTAAAAGTAAAGTTTCATTTCTGACATTGATTATTATACATAGTTAACTACCATTCAAACATTTAAAATTTGAAATGAAAAGTTATTTTAAGAATTATGATCCTTTGAAGCCAAATATTTATATAAATGATAATCAACAAAGTGTGTGTGCAGTGAATTTGCCCAGAAAGATTTGCCAGAACAGAAACAATACCAGCTTTTTTTCTTCATATGGTATGAAATAACTTTATAGTTATCTGTTGCTTGATTTCATTTTTCTCTCTAGGTGAATATGTCAAACCTTTTACACCAGAGAAAGCAAAAGGAATTATAATGTCTTTACAGCAACCTGCAGTCTTCTGTAACATGGTTTCTGACTGGCCTTCGAGACACTGGACGGCTGCACACCTTTCTGAGGTCCTTCATGGCAAGCAGATTCGATTCAGAATGGGAATGAAGAACACAGACACAGGTGGGGCTGGAGGCAGCCAGGCTAACACTGCTCTTCAGCAGCTGACCACTTCTTAGCGCTGCTTTCCTGTCTCAAGAGATCCTTTACTTTTAATCTTCTTTTTAATCTTTTGTTGTACAGAGAGGAAAATTTTCCTGGAATGTATGGAAAAACAGTTTGCCCTAAGGTTTTTTTGTGTTTTAGACTAAACAGCCTATAGTTTAAACCCTCATACAAATTTTTTTTCTTTTTAGAAAACTTTTTTTATGTAATGTATAAGTATGTACATTGCTACATTGGGGCTCATAGAATGTGATGGACTGCATAAATATTTGTTAATACACTATTATTTATGTTCCCATATGACTGAAAAAGAACAATACTACCCAGTACTATAGCTCTACAATGTAACAGTACAAACTGATACTGCAGCCTAATAACCAGTGATACAATCTTATAGACCCTTCCACTTTTGACTGATGTAGAACATGTCCTCCTCTCCTTTTATTTGTAGCTTTAGGCTATGTATACTGCTCAGTGTGGGTTGTAGTTTTATCCTTTGCCTTATCAGCTGCCTGACCTGTATTGCATTGAACAAGCATGAAATGTAAATAAAGCAGCCTATTTTTAAAAAATGTTTCTGGGGTTCAAAGCCAGGGTCTTGTACATGCTAGGCAAGTGGTATACTATGGAGCTGTTCCCTGCCTCAGCGCTCTCTCTTTTTTTTTTTTTGCTCAAGCCATCCTCCTGCCTCAGCTTGCCAAGTAGCTGGGACTATACCACCATGCTTGGCTGCTTTTTTATTCTCTAAATTCATTGGTTTTGCCTGCTCCCTTTTCTTCCCTGTATACTAATATTTGGGGGGCTTTGCCTTATTGTCAGACCAAGTGACTACCGTTAACTCTAAAATTTAGTTAATACAAGAGAAAGAAATGATGTTACTTCTAATCTAATGGAATTCATAATCCCTAATCTTTGTTTGGTGTTTGAAGTGTCTTCCAATGTGAGTAAGATTAGTCCAGAAACTGAAGAGTTTAAGCTTTGTGGTAAAGTGGGTTATGAATATCTATTAATAGCTCAGGAGGAACTAGAAAATTCCCTGGCTTCCCTTCTATCTTTGTCTCGTGTTGACTTTGTAGCATATATCATAGAGTTAGTCTTTGTGTCTAGAATCCTTTTGGATTCCTGTGACTAATCTAGAAGGATAGCTACACCTGGAACTCTCAATTCCAATCACAGACCAGACTGTTTATTGTTTTTCAAAATTGAATGCTAGACCTTTTGCAATAACGTAAAAATCAGAGTATTCTTTTTCCTTCTTGATATTAGTGAACTAAATCTGCTGCTCATTGACATGTCTGTTAGAAACTAATTTGGAGAGAAACAGGAATCAGAGTTTTTATATCCTGGAGAGACTCCATGTTCAACACTACTATTAATAGCAAACATTGTTTGAGAGCTATTGTCTCAGGCCTGTTCGGAATGATTTGCTTGTATTCAGTGTCTTAATCTGCTTAACACTTCCCTAGGATACTGCTGTCGTTCCATTTAATAGGAATTTGACATTTTCAAGTTAATACTTAACCATAAAAGAAAAAGTTAAGAAAAACTGCTCTTTTGAGAAACTCTTTTTGGAAAACATAATTTTGTCTTTTTAATAATTCAAATAAAATGTACGTAAAACCCATATAACAAAATTCATCATTTTAACCATTTAAAAGTACATAGTTCAGTGGTTGTGTTTTCACAATGCTGTGCAACCATGACACACTAATTGCAGAGCATCTTCATTATCTCATAGAGAAGGCAGTGCCCTTGAAGCAGCCACTTTCCATGTACCTTCTGCAGCCTTAGTCTTCTTTCTGTCTCTGAATTTACTCATCTAGGACATATATAAATAGAATCATATAATTGTTGGTCTTTCAGGTATGTTTTCTTTCACGTAGTGTTTTCAAAGTTCATCCATGTAGCAATACCAATTGAACAGCCCTAAGCTGGAAATCTGAAATCCTGAGTTCTCCAAAGTCTGAACTTTTTGAGCACTGACATGATGCTACAGGTTTAAAATTCTACACTTGACCACTCATGGTGAGTCATAGTCAAAATGCAGGTACACTAAAAAAATTGTATAATATTACCTTCAGCCTATATAAGGTGTAATGAGACATAATTTCATATTTAGGCTTGGGTCCCCTCCCCAGGATATTTCATTATATATATGCAAATATTCCAAAATCCAAAATTAACAATACTTGTAGTCACAAGTATTTCAGATAAGGAATATACAACCTGTATATATCAGTATTTTATTTCTCTGGATTATCAAATAATACTCTGTTGTATAGACATACATTTTGTTTATCCACTCATCAGTTGATGAACAGTTGAGTTGTTATCATCTTTTTTGCTGAACCATATATCTAGGAGTAGAATTACTAAGTCATAAGGTATATTGGTCACCTTCCCATCAGGACAAAATACCAGACACCTGAGACTTAAAGGAGAGGTGTATTTAGCTTATGGTTTAGAGGGCTCAGTCCGTGGTCAGCTGGCTTCAAGTAGAAAGACGATAGTGGAAGGGCGTGGCAGAGGAAAGCTGTTCAACCCATGGCAGCCAGGAAACAGAGCAGGAAGAGCCAGAGAGAGATACCTTCAGAGGCACGCCCTGTGTGACACTTCTTCAATCTAGGCTCCACTTCCTAACAGCACATTCAGCTGTGAACTCATTAATGGACTAATTCACTGATGAGTATAGTGCCCCCATGCTACAGTCACCTTCTAAAAATCCCATCTCTGAATGCATGAGACTTCCAGGGGTTTAGATATAAACCATAAGATAAGATAACTGTAATGTTTAACATTTTGGGAAACTGCCAAATTGTTTTCCAAAGTAGCTGCACCATTTTACATTCCTACCAACAGTGTATGAAGGTTCCAATTTTTCCACATCCTACACTTATTCCATTGTTTTTATTAAAGGCATTGTACTCCATATGTTCTTCACATTTCAGTTTTGATTTGCATTTCCCTAATGACTAATAATGTTGATCATCTTTCCATGGGTGTTTTGGCCAGTAGAAATGACCATTCAGATCTTTAGCTCATTCTCTAATTGGAATTTTTATCTTTTTGATGTTGAATTTTAGGAGTTCTTTATATATCATGGATTTTAGACCATTATCAGATATATGAATTGCAAATATTTTCTCTCATTGTGTGAATTATCCTGTTAATTTGTTCTTTTTAAAAATTATTGCTGGTCATGGTGACCTATGCCTATAATCTCAGAACTTGAGATGCTGAGGCAGAAGGATAACTGCAAGTTGGACGCCAGCTTGGGCTACATGTTGATTTCAAGGCCAGCCTAAACTACATAGCAAGACTTTTTCTCAGAAAAAGAAAAGAAAATGATATTTCACTGAGTATAATCCAAAACTTCCACAGTCAGTACAGGATAATGGTACAAAAGAGCTGAAACTAGAATCAGCCTGCATGGCTTTAAATGTTGGCTTAATGTATAACCTTGGGCAAGTCAATCAACTTTTCTTTGTAAGAGAAATATTTTCAAGATTAAATGATTTCAATCCCTGGTACCAAAAAAAAAAAAAAAAGCTAAAAGATTAAATGATTTCATATCCATAGACTATTTAGAAAAGTATAGTGCCTACTATATAATAAGTACTCAAAAACTATTACTTAAAGGTAAAGTAAATTTTTTTTTCTGGTACCAGGGATTGAACTCAGGACCTTGTGCTTGCGAGGCAGGTGCAGCACCACTGAGCTAAATCCCTGGCCCCTAGAAATATATATATATTTTTTTGGTACCAGGGATCAGACTCGAGACCTTGCGCTTGTGAGGCACGCGGCGGAACTACTGAGCTAAAGAAATAATTTTTAAATGATATATGACTTCTTCAGTGTAGAAAAAACTTGAAAACATGGAAAGACCCACAGAAATTTTAAAATACCTTCCAACTAACCAGAAATAATCACTAGTTATACTTTGATGTATATCCATGCAGGCCTTCTTGTATTAAGAAAAGATAATATTAATTTTTAGAGCCTGCTTCTTTTTACTTAACATATTCTGAACCACTACTCTTGACATTAAATGTGACCTAAATGTTACCTAATGTTCCTTTGAATGGTAGTATCATAAATTATTTTAGAATGCTCTTGTACTAGATTGCTTACAGTTTTAACATTTGTAAATACTACTATAGTGAACATCCTTGGAAACAAATCTTGTCTTGGTTTCTGATTTTCTAGGATGGATTCAAAGGGCATGTGAATTATCCTACCCCAGAAACCTCTGAGTCTTTCTGATTGCCTTGTTTTTCTGGTGTCTTGTGACTTAGACTCTACTATCCAACAGCCCCCTGCTTGTCTGTCTCTATGGCTGTCCTCTAGTCAGCATTACTACCCCTCTCTCACCTCCAAGCTGAGGTGGCCTTCTCCCCAGTCCTAGTCTCTGCGTCCCTGCCTTCCCTTCCCCTGCCAGTTCTCAGATGGTAGCCAGGGACAATTTGTAAAAACACAAATTTAATCTTATATCTCTGCTTAAAACCCTTTAATGGCCTCCCATTTTAGGCTAAAGACCAAATGTTTGGAAGGAAGGCTCAGCTTAATTTCACTGAGCTCAGGCTATTTTCAATTTCCATATTTCCCGGAATTTGCTTCTTCCTCCTTCAGAGCCTTTGTGTATATAGTGGCTAGCCATTCTTCTCTTTGCCCATTGTTTCCCCTCTATCTTTGCTCCTCTTCTTTCTTAAGCTTTTGGCTTAAATGTCATTTTTTCCTGTCTATGTCTATCCTTCCCTATCCCCTAAATCAGGTGCGGCTATCAAACTATGTCAGAACACTTTGCTTGTATTCTTCTCCTCTTCCATCCCTCCCCTGCTTCCCTCTTTCTTCCTGAAAGTACTGGATATTAAACCCAGGGAGCACTGAGCTACATTCCCAGCCCTTGAGATAGAATCTCACTATATTGCTCAAATTGGATTTGAACTTGTGATCTTCCT